TCTAGTAGGTACAGAATAAAGTAAGTATACAGACTGAGTAGTTTCTCCTCTCCTTTTCAGCTACTGGGGTTATAATCTTCCAGCAAATAAAGGTCCTGCAAAACCGGATACAACCAACTGTGTCATCATCAAAAGGGGCTGTGAGCATATTTATAGTTGTTGGCGTGATGTTTATTGCCACGACCTAAAACGGTGCATCTGCAAAAGGAATCCTATTCAAAAGTGGATGAAATAACTGATTATCTGCAATCTATGCCACTTTGTCAATCCTGCTATTCCGAGGCTGGAAAAGAGCCATTGTTTTACACCTGCAAAGGCTTAGTTGGGTACTGAAATAAAGTGTGGAAGAATTCAGACTGTGTACGTTTCAATAGATTAACTGTGTGTATCTACCTAGCAATGTTAGAACAGATAGATCTGGTTTCTAGTTTGTCCTTTTGATTACTGATATGTTGCAAGGTCTGGAAAGGACTCCTGTGATATTAGATCAAGGTTTATCTAACACACGGGTGTCAAACACAAGGCCCGCAGGCCAAATCCGGCCAGCTAGACCTCGTCATGTGGCCCGTGTACATTTGAATATCTACTTATATTCTAGTTCCGGGCAAGCGGCTTCTCTGAAAGACAGGAACCGGCCGCAGCCCCGGGTTTTTATTCCCCTCCCTTCCTTTTGCTGCAGAGAGGAAGTGAGAACTTCAACGAGCCCCGGAGCTGGGAAGAGGGCGCGTGGGTGCCTGAGTTGGAGGGTGAAGATTTGGGTTGGGCAAGAAGGATCAAGGGTCAGGAGCGAAAGCGCAAGTCAGGGCTCCCTCGCCACCCCCCACCCCCCTCTTAGGACATCCGAGCAGACCCCGCAGCGCAGGCAGCCGTGAATGGGGTGGGGGAAGGCAGGCGAGAGAGACCACCGATCCGGGCCAGCTGTGCCCAAAGAGGGTCGGCGATCCAGCTGCGCCACAGCCCGCCCGCCTCCCCTCCTCCAACGCGAAGATCAGCCACACAAGCTTGCCAGCCGAGCTCCGGGACGCGGGCCTGACAGAGTCCCCAGCGCAGCCGCCGAAGCTAGCAAATGCACGGGAGCGGCAGGGTGAGAAGAAGCCGGGCTCCGGTTAGGCTTCGCCAAAAATGCTGTAGGTGTGAGGCTGTGTGGCGCGCTTTTTATACGGCACGCTGTATCCCTCCGCCAGAGCAGCGCCTTCTTTTTCCCTCTCCCTCCCGGGACTGGGGCATGTGGCAGCAGAGTGATTGCAGCAGGCAGCCCTGCCCCCTCCCCTCCCCACACCTGCCCCGGCCCCTCCCCCGCTCCCTCCCAGCCGCCAGCCCAGCTGGCAGGCGGCGAGGAGGAGGAGGAGAGGGGACGCTGGGCGCGCGCTCCATCTCCCTCCAAGGAAACGGCGGGCAGCAGCAGCCGGTGCATTGGCTTCGGAGCGCCTGCCAGGGGTTGCAGCAGATGCTGCTCGCGGCTTAGGCGGCTTCCGTGTTCCTGCTTTGGTCCGAGAGGCCGAGCTGTTCCGCAGCAGGCAGGGAGATGGGCAGGCTGTGTGTCTGCTGCTTCCCTTGGAAGCCCCCAGGTGCGGAAGCCTGGCAATAAAAACAAGAGCGAAAAGGGGCCTGGCGAGGATGCGTTTGGGGCCGGCCCTACTGTTAGGCAGAGTGAGGAGGAGAGATCTTGAGGCGACTGGTTTGGGGGTGGGGTGGAAGACAAGAAGAGGAAGCAAATTCTTGCCTAGTTCACTTATTGTTTCTGGAGTTTTGCTCCCAGGGAGAAGGAGAGGAACCTGTGAGAATTTGCAATATCCGCAATAGCCAGCTGTGTACATTTGAATATCTACTTGCCATTATTCTGACTATGTTTCCGCTTTCAGAGCTAGTTATTACTTACATTATTACAAAAAAGAGTAATAATTGAATGCAGTGAAAATAATTTATGATAATAAAGAGTGGACACATAGACCTACAGATACAACCGGCCCTTTGAGGGTGACCAAACTGCTGATGCGGCCCCCGATGAATTTCAGTTTGACACCCCTGATCTAACAGGATCAGAGCCCTCTCTTTCCTGAAGCATTTAGGGTAGAAATGCTTTTCTATCACCCAGGGGACAGAAGTTGAACTGTCATGTATTTATTTATTTAAAAATTTATGCGTATTTTGTTCATTCATACATTTATGAATTTGATGAAGTCATTAGCCTGAATAACTAACAACAGCTGAACCATCCAAATAGTCATCTAAATTTCAGCCACCGCAGCAGTCAGAACAAAACTAAAACTCAGTGACCAACTGCCACGAAATGCCAAGAAAGAGCTCTGCTGATCTCTGTGGGTGCCAGGATGAAGCAGGCACTTCGATGAAAAGAGACCTTCAAACGCTTTTTTTTAAGCCCTCCCTTACCAGTCACAGGAAGACATCATTAGCAGAATGACTTCCTTACGAGACACCCTTATTCAACTTTGGCCTCCAGAGAAAGCCAATACAGTGGTACCTCGGGTTAAGTACTTAATTCGTTCCGGAGGTCCGTTCTCAACCTGAAACTGTTCTTAACCTGAAGCACCACTTTAGCTAATGGGGCTCCCTCCCCCAACACCTCTACATAACAACCATGGCAGCTGCACAGACCAAAGAGGGAGATCCCGAGAGCCACGCTTGCCTTAAATGAGGCAAGCCACACACCCCGAGCCAGCGGAAGTGGCTTTATTCTATAACTTCTGTTGAATGACTCCAAAGAAGATTTCTTAATCCGGAAGAATTAGGCCTCGCTGACCTGAAATCAACAAGCCAAATTCCAACTACTAAAAAGGAGTTATTAACCCTTTAATAGGAGGCGGGTCTGTGTTTGTGGACAAAGGTAGGGAATTAAATCAAACTGTAGAACTGGATTGATATAATGATTCCTTAATGAACAGTTCAATAGAGTTTTTAGCACCCAATGCCATGCAAACCTCTGGGGAAAACATGAAGTTCAAGTCTTGTTTGACTATGAGGTTATAACTCCAATAAGGAATTCTGCAGGTCAACGATACATTGAAGGTCTTATCATGGAATGTGGCGGGATGGTCCCCCAAGTTAGTAGATTTGAATTTTAAAAGAATTCTGCATTGTTGTTGTTTAGTCGTTTAGTCGTGTCCGACTCTTCGTGACCGCATGGACCAGAGCACGCCAGGCACTCCTGTCTTCCACTGCCTCCCGCTGTTTGGTCAAACTCATGCTGGTAGCTCCTAACCAACATTCTTAACTCTAATGCATAAATGGGTTAATACCATAGCTAATTTGTCCGGCCAGGCTTACTTATTTCCACTTACTTTACCTTGGGATGAAATGGGTAATCAAGCCTACAGTCCCCCCCCCCCCAAAGCCTACTGAGAAGCTCAGTGTGTAAAGAGGTTGGAGGTGGTTGCTCCAGCTCATGCCACATGGTCCTCACAAGCCACTCTTGAATTCCGGTATCAATATTTCAGGAACTTTTAATACTTTGTGACTAACCCCATGTTTTAATGCCCATGCTTGTGGAAAAGCACATGAACCTGACCTTTGTAGTTTGGAAGTAAACCATTTCAGGAAGTCTCATGCAAACTTATGCAGCTATCTCATGCTATCTAGAGTTGAGCCAAAGTTCATGCTGTGAAGTTAGCTTAGGATTCCCATAGGGTTACCCGGACATATACGGAATACTGCAGCTGACAGCAGTGACCGGGCGTAAAATCGGACAAATGTCCAGGAAAATCTGGGTGTATGGCAGCCTATGTTGGAAGTGCCATTTTTGCCATCCCCCCCCCCCGAAAAAAAGACAAAACAGCCGTTTTTGTTTGTCGGAGCCAGCCGTACAAATGGCGAAGTTTAGCATAAAATAATGACACAGAGAGCCAGCAATATTTTCATGATGGTAGGAGCAGCTCCTCTCAAACTTCCCTCTCCTCCTCCTGCAAACTTCTTTATTCCTTTGTCCCTCCTCAGCCGCATGGCTGTTTGCCAGTGTCTCACGTTACCTCATCCGGTCAAGGCTTTTATTGCCCCCTTCACCATATAGGGCAATCACTGCCCAGAGGAAACACAACTGCATTACATTCCAATACATTGTAAAGCTCAGAGTGCTGGTCAGCCAAGGTCAGGGGGCACCCTGCAATATTACAAGCCTTTACCGTGGCTTTATGACTCCCACATTTGTTTCTCTTTTTTTTTGCATTTTTGCTGAAAAAAGTCAACAACTATGGGCCAAACTGAAGAACCTGCCATAGCATTTGAACATAACTAAGATAGAGGGAAGGTTACTCAAACAAAGCTATTCATACTATGTCTGCTCCTAAATCATTTCCTCAAGCCTTTACAAAGTACATTACAGCGCTATCTTGGTTATCAAACAGCTTGGCTCCCAAACACCACAAACCCGGAAGTAAGTGTTCCAGTTTGCAAACATTTTTTGGATGCCAAACTTCCGACACGGCTTCCGTGGCTTCCAATGGCGGGTAGGACGCTCCTGCAGCCAATTGAAAGCCGTACCTTGGTTTTCAAATGGTTCCTGGAGTTGAACGGACTCCCAGAATGAATTAAGTTCAACAAGCAAAGTACATATGTACTCTCTCTCTCTCTCTCTCTCTCACACACACACACACACACACACACACACAGAGAGAGAGACACACAAAATTCTTTTCTAATAGCACAAGCAGTGAACCCGTGATTCCTTAACTGCTTTAAACAATCATGGTCAAGGATGAAGGAATTAGCATTATAAGAACATCTTCAGAGTTGCCTTATTAGTCTTTCTGCAGCAAAAACAATACATAGTATTTTGGCAGCTTAAAGACTAACAAATGTATTGTGTTATTGTGAACCACACAACACTTTAAAAGATGCCTGCAGAGTTCTATAGTGGGATTGTAGAGAGGTAGATCAGAGGGATAAGAAATGCAGGTAAGTGCATTGTTACAGTAACTGCCTCTAACAATTATATTAACTGGGAGAGGGTCTCCATGGCAACACTGCCTATGAATTGCCCATTGTGACTCTGCTTTTAAGTAACGCATTGACTTCACTGTCTACTTTATACTCCCACAGGTTGCGAATAAAATAAGAAACCAGTTCAATGGCTCCTAAAAAGCCACCAGGTAAATCCCTTCGGTTACTATTTTCTCTTCACAGGAACACAGAGATCTGCAGACTTGATATGTTCCCTCCAATACATTGTACTGTAGACAATTGACAGAGCTGAGATATTTCGGGCTGTTGCTCGATGTTTATTTTTATGTTGATCATCTCATCTCATCATATAACATTACTATACTCATCCTGTCTTTATATAGATAAGCCAGAGAAAGCTGAACCACCCGCAGGAGACAAGGCTGCAAAAGCACCAGGTCTGTATGCTCATTAGCACATGGAGGAGGAAGGAACAGTAAAGGAAAGTTGTGATGGGGAGGACCAGAGTGAGGACAAGCATATTCTATAGGTCCAGGGCATCCACCACGTCCAACTGAGGAGCAATGAACTTGAGTTTGTGTCCACCATCTGCTGCTGGCAGTGAACAGCCCCAGCTGGAACTGAAAGCTCTCCTTGATGTGCCCTCACCCTCACTACAACCCATCCACTGCTGCAGCCCCTTCCACTTACTTGATGGAGGGCAGCCAGATGGAACTCCACAACCCCAATCTTCCCATGAGTATGCTGTGTTCTTGTTCCAGGCCAGGGTAACAGACACATTGAGGGTGTCCAATCCACTCTGCTAGTTGAGGATCAACTTCTTGACGTGAAGTCTCTCCTCAGCTCTACCTTTCACTATAAGAACATTATGCTTAGTGGGCAGAGTGGGACACTTAATCTCAGGGTCATGGGTTTGAGACCCACATTGGGGAAAGATTCATGCATTGCAGGGGGTTGGACTAGATGACCCTCGTAGTCCCTTCCGCCTTCGTCTATTATTCTATGAGAACATAGCAAGAGCTTGCTGGGTCAGACCAAGATCCTTCTAGTCCCAGGTGATGTCTCTTCATGGTCCTGAGGCCTCCAGACAGGGAACACGGGCAGAAACGTATCTTCAAGAAGCAATACTTCCATGCCAGATTCCTTCATCCACTTTACCTTCCAAGGGTCTGGCCCCCTGGCATTTCACAGTGGAGCAACCCCCCACCATGGGTTTAGGAAGCTGACTGCCATATGTTGATCTAGATGGGTTGCCAGAGATCATAAGGAATTTCTTGACTGGGGTGGCACTGGGATGTTGTCTGTTGATGGCTAAAGCAGTATTTTCTCTCCTCCTGTCCATCAAGGAGAACTAACACCTTTGCAGGAAAAAGTGAAAAAGTTCTTCGAATCTTCATATTCCCTGTATGTTGGTGCAGTGCTTGTGATGGGCTCCGTTATAGGGGCAATAATGCTGACCTATCTGTGTAAGTTCCAGTCTTCTAGGAAAATATAAAAGGGTAATGGGCAGAATTACAATTCACTCTTGCTTGCTTCATTTCAGTGGAGACGTTTAAAAGGAAAGGATAGGTTCTGGTCTCCACTAAGCCCTTTCACCTCCTGATTTCAGTTGGTGAGATAAACATTTAATGTACTCTCTCCCATTGAAACCAGTGGCACCGTAGGGTTGTCCGTGAAGACATGCTCAGAGACTTTTAACTGGTTTGTTAAAAAAAGGCAAAGGACTCCAGACAGTTAAGTCCAGTCACATAGAACTCTGGGGTTGCGGCGCTCATCCCACTTTACTGGCCGAGGCAGCCGACAGTTGTCCACAGACAGTTTTTCTGGGTCATGTGCCCAGCATGATTAAGCCACTTCTGGCGAAAACAGAGCAGAGCACGAGAATGCCGTTTATCTTCGCGCTGCAGTGGTACCTATTTATCGACTTGCACTGCATGCTTCCAAACTGCTAGGTTGGCAGGAGCTTGGACTGAGCAATGGCAGCTCACCCCCTCACCGGATTCGAACCGGCGACCTTCCAATCAGCAGGCCCTAGGCTCAGTGGCTTAGACCACGGCACCACCCGTTTCCCAACTGGTTCTTCTGGGAGCTCTTCTGGAATGTGCCTTGCTCCTTTGTACTCAGGCGATTAACCCCTTCCTTGGATGAGCACACTGCAACCTCTACCATCTGTTGCGGCCTAGGGTCCTCAAATCTGAGAAGTACCCAAAGCAGCTACACTACCTCACGGATGAAGCAGGTTGGGGGCCAGACTGTTGCTTTGGGGAGCCTGTAGAAAACCTTCCTAATGTTCATGGCCCAGCGTAAATATGTGCATTCAGCTGTTCCTTTCTTGACAAATCTGGACTGTGAGAGTGGGGTAGACCCAACCCTGGTCAGCCAAGCCAAGCCCACCTGGCGGCAGCTATCCTGCTACTGAAAGAGACTCAGTCAGGGGGAGGCAGGGGCATTCCGTGGTGGGGGGGCAGCTGCATTGGGTGTCATTCCAAAGGGGGGAGGACAAAATGCCAACCCCCAATCAGCAGTGTCTCCCGGGGCGCGCCCTACTCACTGTGCACCGACCCCAGCGGTATGCATCCCCCCAGGAAGCACGCCACCCCTACGGGCGGCATTCCATGCCCCCGGGACGGGTGCCATGACCTCCGGGACGCACCCCGTGGGTGGCACTCCACACCCCCTGGGACGAGTGCCGCTCCAGGTACCGGAGCAGGTTGCTTCACCTCTGGGGGAAGGAGAGCTTCGCAAGGCTGAAATGCTTTCTTCAACTCCCAAGGGTATCGAGAGGCTGGAGTACCCACAGACGTCCTGGAGAACACCTCAGTCAAGTGTCAGGTGGAGGGAGGAGGGGATTCTAGGTCTCGATCTCCTTGTCAAGATGAGGGAGCCATCATGTTCATCTCCTGTAAGGGCCCGGCACCTCTGCAATTCAGAATACACACACCCCCACACACTCATTCCTATATCTATCTATCTATCTATGAAGATATTGGGCTAAGGACTCTAAATTAGATCTTGAGGCTTGAAAATGAACCTTCCTAGAGGAGAAATTCTTCCTTTACGAATTTTGGGAAGTACATTACATATTGGAACTTATACGACAGAAGTCTCATTCCAAATGCAACTTAATCCCTTCCAAAGGGGTGCTGGGGGAAGCAAAGCTATTCTCCCACATGCAATGAGCAACTTTCCCCATCATCACCTTTAGATGTTAAGGAAGTGCAAAGGAGAGCCATATTTGAAGAAGGAACGACAAAGATTCTGCAAATGGTAGAAGACACCTTTCCGGATCTTTTTGAGGCAGATGGTAAGTCATATGTTACTTTTTGTCTGCACAGAAGCTCCTTCCACAGCCAACCATTTCTTCTCATTACTCAGTTCAGGGAAGTCGAAGAGGAATGGGTGGGTTGCCTCAAGCTCATTCTATTCTCAACTTCTCCATAAGCATGGTGTGTGTGTGTGTGTGTGTGTGTGTGTGTGTGCCGTGTTGGTGGAAAAATATATTGATATAAGAAAGAAAATTCCTGAATTCCAGTCTCCAAGTTTGGGGCAAGTACCCATTGGTGAGAGAACCCAGCAGAGATTCACAGTCACAAAATATGCAGCAAATGTCAGCATGAAAGTATAGGCTGCTAGACCTTTAAAATAGGCTCTTCCAAGTGAGTTCCAAAGTTTCCCTCTTCCCCCAGTAAACAAGAACACACACTTGGTAAGTTAAAGAATGCTTTGCTTACAAACTCTTCAAAGGTCAGAGCCATGTGCTTTAGAAAAGGTGCCCGGCAGGGAAACTAGGCTTAGCAACAATGTGGAGGAATATCCTAGAGTATTGGAACAAGAACTCAAGAGTGGCTCATGAGGAGCATGTGGCTGAGCTTGAGCAATCAGATCAAACCAGGAAAACTTAGCTTAGCAACAATGTGGAGGAATTTCCTAGAGTATTGGTACAGGAACTCAAGAGTGGCTCATGAGGAGCATGTGGCTGAGCTTGAGCAATCAGATCAAACCAGGAAAACGTAGCTTAGCAACAATGTGGAGGAATTTCCTAGAGTATTGGTACAGGAACTCAAGAGTGGCTCATGAGGAGCATGTGGCTGAGCTTGAGCACCCAGATCAAACCAGGAAAACGTAGCTTAGCAACAATGTGGAGGAATTTCCTAGAGTATTGGTACAGGAACTGAAGAGTGGCTCATGAGGAGCATGTGGCTGAGCTTGAGCACCCAGATCAAACCAGGAAAACGTAGCTTAGCAACAATGTGGAGGAATTTCCTAGAGTATTGGTACAGGAACCCAAGAGCTTGAGCTTGAGCAACCAGATCAAACCTCATCACATACTGAGCTTCTCAAGCAGCCTGGGGAAAAACAATAGGCTTGATTACCTATTTCTTCCCAATGTAGCTGAGTCTGGCAGACCAGCATACTCTATGGCTTGAATACCTTAATACATTATTTAGAGTTAAGCATGTTGGTTATACGAGGCTGATTAACCTATGTTTTGGAGTTTCAGAGTTGGAAGGGATCACAAGGGTCTTCTAGCTGAACCCCATGCAGTGCAAGAATCTTTCACCCAATTGGGGGTTCAAATCCACAACCCTGAGATTAAGAGTCTCATGCTCTACTGACTGAGCTATCCAGAAGCTCCAGGAAAGGAGTCCAGCTCAGTTGATGTGCAAATGCCATTGTTGTTGTTGTGCTAAAAAAGGCCCCAGGTTCAATTTTCAGCATCTCCAGGCAGAGGTGGGAATGACCTCTTTCAGAAGCCCTGGAGAGCCATTGCTAGTCAGTGCAGACAATTCTCATCTAGATTAATGAATGGTCTGATTCTGTATAAGGCAACTTCCTAGGTTCCTATATATGAAAAGTAAATATTAGATCTTGAGAAACATGGCTTTTCAGTATCTGTACATGGCTGTTTGAGATTCCTCCCAACTTCAATTGTTGCCACTCTCTTAGATATCACAAAATTCAAGAAAGCTGAGAATATATCTGCGGCAATATCCGAAGAGAAAAAGAAAATCAGCGAACTACAGCAGGCTATTAGTAAGTTACTCAGAAACCACTTTTATCGGTCAACGTCAAGGTGCCAGAACCTTTGAGGCAATAGGCGATTTCAGAACCATTGGGATGGACTTCTCTTTTCCATTACAGGCTAGAATGGCACATTCTGGTGCCAATCCCGTTTTGAAATATCAGTCAGATTAGCACAGCTGGAAACAGAGAATGGGTAGCTTTCTTCAGGTGTTTTAAGTGAGCACATGTGCAGAGGGCTGTAGGGATGAGCATACTAGCTCTGGCCCACTAGGGCCCTTCCCTGTGAAACTGCAGGGTGACCGTCTCAAGCTGCAAACCAGCAACATAGGTAAGGTCACAAGTTCTCTGTGTACTATGTACAAGTTCTCTATTAGGTACAGGATTTTAAATAGTATGGACACAGTCAAAAGGCCATGTTGTTGAGCCTTTCTGGGCAACAGCTCCATTACAGTGGAAACCTAGCCAGATGGGCGTGATATAAATATTTTATTATTATTATTATTATTATTATTATTATTATTATTACGGATGTCTGGTTAATCCTGTTGGGATACTGCCAGGGAGATAAAGTCCATCATGGCCCCCAAGCCGGCTGCCGGACGATCCATCGATCTCCCGTAGACACGCAGTATCAGCAATTAGCGACATGAGCTCCAGAACATTCTAGAGCCGATGCACACTCTCTATCAGCAGATAATGCACAGCAAAAGTCGCACTCAGGAGAGCATTATTTACAAGTTTTATTCAGCGTTGATCAGAACAAAGAAAAACATGACTGCCTGCTTCAGTGTCTACGACACAGAGAGAGAAACGAAAGCAACAACAGAAACATCCTGTGGAAACAGGAAATACGCAGACTCTGACTCACAAAGCCTGCTCCCTTTTAAGGTGGAACGGAAATATCCTAACAAATCCCATAGTCCTTTGAGGACTGGTGCATTAGCATGTCTGTTGAGGCATTTGTCCTGAGGGCCAAATACTGAACCTGACTCATGAATCAAAGACCAGTCCCCACATGTCCTCCTTTCCATGCTAAGGGAATTCATCCTGAGCCTGTGAAGTAAGAAAAAAGTATTTTCTTTCCCATCATGTCAGTACTACAGCTTTTGTTTCCTATATTTTCTTTCCTACTGTTCAAATGGTGGGTCGTTCTAGGTTTTTTGGTATATACTCTGTACTCAAAAACAGTTCTGAAACTGTCTAGAAGGAATTGGCTACAGCAAGGTCGAATTTCACAGGAGACCTGGTGGAGCTCCCTTGCACCTCTCAGTCTGTGTCTGGTACTTTGGGCTGTGGACCCAAATCTGTTAGAAAGCTGGCTAGTGAATTTTTAATGGGCGCAAAAAGAGAAAGAGGGAAGGAAATGAATGGTACTACTCAGACCAAATAAGCTATGCGCAGATCCCTGAGCAAAGAAGTTCATAGAATCATAGAATCATAAAATCATAGAATCATAGAATCATAGAGTTGGAAGAGACCACAAGGGCCATCGAGTCCAACCCCCTGCCAAGCAGGAAACACCATCAGAGCACTCCTGATATATGGTTGTCAAGCCTCTGCTTAAAGACCTCCAAAGAAGGAGACTCCACCACACTCCTTGGCAACAAATTCCACTGTCGAACAGCTCTTACTGTCAGGAAGTTCTTCCTAATGTTTAGGTGGAATCTTCTTTCTTGTAGTTTGGATCCATTGCTCCGTGTCCGCTTCTCTGGAGCAGCAGAAAACAACCTTTCTCCCTCCTCTATGTGACATCCTTTTATATATTTGAACATGGCTATCATATCACCCCTTAACCTCCTCTTCTCCAGGCTAAACATGCCCAGCTCCCTTAGCCGTTCCTCATAAGGCATCGTTTCCAGGCCTTTGACCATTTTGGTTGCCCTCCTCTGGACACATTCCAGTTTGTCAGTGTCCTTCTTGAACTGTGGTGCCCAGAACTGGACACAGTACTCCAGGTGAGGTCTGACCAGAGCAGAATACAGTGGCACTATTACTTCCCTTGATCTAGATACTATACTCCTATTGATGCAGCCCAGAATTGCATTGGCTTTTTAGCTGCCGCGTCACACTGTTGGCTCATGTCAAGTTTGTGGTCAACCAAGACTCCTAGATCCTTTTCACATGTACTGCTCTCAAGCCAGGTGTCCCCCATCTTGTATTTGTGCCTCTCATTTTTTTGCCCAAGTGCAATACTTTACATTTCTCCCTGTTAAAATTCATCTTGTTTGTTTTGGCCCAGTTCTCTAATCTGTCAAGGTCGTTTTGAAGTGTGATCCTGTCCTCTGGGGTGTTAGCCACCCCTCCCAGTTTGGTGTCATCTGCAAATTTGATCAGGATGCCCTTGTGTCCATCCAAGTTGTTGATAAAGATGTTGAATAAGACCGGGCCCAAGACAGAACCCTGTGGCACCCCACTAGTCACTCTTCTCCAGGATGAAGAGGAACCATTGATGAGCACCCTTTGGGTTTGGTCAGTCAGCCAGTTACAAATCCACTGAGTGGTAGCATAGTCAAGACCGCATTTTACCAGCTTCTTTACAAGAATATCATGGGGCACCTTGTCAAATGCCTTGCTGAAATCAAGGTAGGCTACATCCACTGCGTTTCCTTCATCTACCAGGCTTGTAATTCTGTCAAAAAATGAGATCAGGTTAGTCTGACATGACTTATTTTTCAGAAATCCATGCTGACTATTGGTGATCACAGCATTCCTTTCTAGGTGCTCACAGACTGTTTGCTTAATGATCTGCTCCAGAATCTTCCCTGGTATTGATGTCAGACTGACTGGGCGGTAATTATTTGAGTCCTCTCTTTTCACCTTTTTGAAAATAGGGACAACATTTGCCCTCCTCCAGTCTGCCGGGACTTCGCCTGTTCTCCAAGAATTCTCAAAGATGACTGCCAGTGGTTCTGAGATCACATCTGCCAGTTCTTTTAATACTCTTGGATGCAGTTCATCTGGCCCTGGAGACTTGAATACATCTAAACTAGCCAAGTATTCTTGTACTATCTCCTTAGTTATTCTGGGCTGTGTTTCCTTTGCTGAATCATTTGCTCCAAATTCTTCAGGTCGGGCATTGTTTTCTTTATCGGAGAAGACTGAGGCAAAGAAGGCATTGAGGAGTTCAGCCCTTTCTGTGTCCCCTGTTTGCATTTCACCATCTTCTCCTCTGAGTGACCCCACTGTTTCTTTGTTCTTCCTTTTGCTACGAACATACCCATAAAAGCCTTTTTTGTTGCTTTTAACCTCTCTAGCAAGCCTGAGTTCATTCTGTGCTTTAGCTTTTCTGACTTTGTGTCTACACGTGCTGGCTATTTGTTTGAATTCCTCTTTGGTGGTTTCCCCCCTTTTCCATTTTTTGTACACATCCTTTTTAATCTTAACTCAGTTAAAAGTTCTTTAGATAGCCACCCTGGCTTCTTTAGGCACCTTCCATGTTTCCGTCTCATTGGTATTGCCTGACGTTGTGCTTTTACTATCTCCCTCTTAACAAACTCCCAGCCATCATGAACTCCCTTTCCCTTTAGTATTACTGTCCATGGGATCTCACCCAGCACTTCCCTAAGTTTTATGAAGTCGGCTTTCTTAAAGTCAAGAAATTGAGTCCTAGTATGCTTGGCTGCTCCTTTCCGCTGTATAGTAAACTTCAGAAGAGCATGATCACTCGCGCCTAATGATCCTTCCACTTCTACCCCACTAACCAGGTCATCAACATTGGTTAGGACCAGATCTAAAATGGCTGTTCCTCTTGTTGCTTCTCCCACTTTCTGGACAATGAAGTTGTCTGCAAGGCCAGTGAGGAATCTGTTTGACCTTATGCTCTTGGCTGAGTTTGACATCCAACAAATATCTGGGTAATTGAAGTCCCCCATTACTACTATCTCCTTCCTTTTGCATGCTTGGCCATCTGTTCCAGGAAGGCATCATCTATGTCCTCCGTTTGGCTTGGGGATCTATAGTAAACTCCCACAATGAGGTCACTGTTATTCATCTCTCCCTTAATTTTGACCCAAATGCTCTCACTTTGGCTTTGAGGTTCTAAATCTTGGATCTCTTCACAGGTATACACATCCCTGACATATAATGCCACTCCTCCTCCTTTTTTGTCTGGTCTGTTTCTCTGAAATAGATTGTATCCCTCCATTATTACATTCCAATCGTGGGACTTATCCCACCAGGTTTCAGTGATGCCTATTATGTCATATTTAGTTTGCTGTACCAAGAGCTCAAGCTCATCTTGTTTATTTCCCATGCTTTGCGCATTAGTGTACAGACATTGAAGTCCATTAATCATTCCCCGTGTCTCTTATTTAAGGATTTTTTCCTCCCACCACTAGGTCTGCGTGCTGTTTGCTCCATTTGGTCTATGACATTTGGATGATCATCTTCATCAATTGATAGACTCCTACCTTCAGGAGCACTGTCTCCCTCCCCACATTAGTCAGTTTAAAGCCCTCCTGATGAGGTTTCTGAGATTTTGGCAAAAACATTTCTCCCAACCGTTGTGAGGTGCAGCCCATCGCTTGCCAGAAGTCCATCTTCAAGAAACTGCAGTCCGTGATCTAAGAATCCAAACCGTTCCTGTTTACACCATTTGCGAAGCCAGCTGTTCACTTCCACTATTTTCCCCTCTCTCCCTGGGCCACGTCGTTCAACTGGGAGGACAGATGAGATGACAATTTGTGCATTTAATTGCTTCAATTTCCTGCCCAGAGCCTCGTAGTCTCTTTTGATCTTCTGGAGGCTATTGCTTGCAGTGTCATTGGTTCCCACATGAACCAAGAGGAAGGGGTATTTGTCAGTGGGTTTAATGATTCCTTGCAGTCGTTCAGTTACATCTTGGATCTTAGCCCCGGGGAGACAGCACACTTCCCGAGACATCTTGTCAGGCCCACAGATCACTGCTTCTGTTCCCCTCAGTAGGGAATCCCCTATCACCACTACACGCCTCCTCTTAGGTTTGGTCGGGGTTCTTCCGTGAGCTCTCCATTCCAAGGTCACCTGCACATTCCCTGAGGACTGACTTTGCTGCTTGTCTTCATATACCTGATCGACTGTAATGAGGGAGAGATCCTCAAATGGAGTCTGCTCTTCATCTTCCATGCTAGGGGAGAGGACCTCAAAGCGATTGTGTATTTCTAAACAATCAGAGCGAACCCTGGGCCTCCTACTTCTTTGAGTCACGTTTCTCCATATATCTGGCTCCTGTGTTGGTGAACTAGCCTCCTTCTCAGGGGAGTCCCCTGTCTCCTCCTTGGTGGAGACAGTGTGCTCTGTTGCTTCCAAGAAGAGCTCCAGCTCTCTAATTCTTTGGAGCGTAGCTACACGTTCCTCCAGTTGCTGGACTTTGTCTTTTAAGAGGGCAATCAACATGCAATTGCTGCAGGTAAAGCTGCCTGCAACCTTTGGCAAGATGGCAAACATTGCGCAGGAACCGCAGGTGACTGCAGCTGTTCCCTCCCCCTCCATGTTGAGAACGTGTCGTTGGGGGTGGCTACAGCGGTCCTCCATTATAAAAAGCGTGAAGACAGGACAAATAACTCCCCCCACAAAAAACCTAGGTCTCCCCCAACAAATGTTTGAGACTAGCTCCCCTAAATCTAAAAGATGGATCAAACTGGGCACGCCGCTAGGCGCGCGCCGCTGCCCTACAAGCTCTGATAAGCTAAGTTATATGCTGACAAGGCCTCACTCCTGTCAGCAATCATGCTGCAGCATTCAGCACCAACTGCAGTGCGTAGCCAGTGGGTCCTAGTGGGTCTTTGAGGACAATGCTAGATTTTCTTCAGTGGGGGTGGTTCCCCCACCCAAGGTGCTCCCAAGGTTCCCCCTAATGTCATTATTTTAAACTCCTACAAGCTGGCTTCTACTACAACCTCACTTGTCCTTTCTCTCTTTTTGTTCCTCTCACATTCTGGGCATTACTCAAAGGTGACATTCACCACAGGTTACGTGAGGAATGGATTGTTTGGCATGGAGCCCTATATTTATTTGACTTCATTGCCACCCCAAGGACTTGGAAACAGTGCGTACAATACTGCGAAAGGATGAAATACGATACAAAATTGTTATGTGTTGAAAGTGAGGAGGAGGAGGTGAGCAGATCATGCAATAAATTCTTCAGAGACAATGGAGGAGTGTGACTTTGGGGGTAGATTTCAGCATCTGCCGTGGTTGTAGAGACTGATAAGGGACAGACATGAGACCTGGGAAACCGGGATTTGAATCCCCACTCTGCCATGAAGCTTACTGGTCAGGACTGCCTTTCATCCTAACTTACCCCACGGGACTGTCGTGAGGACAAATGGGGAGAGGAGACGGGCATGCAGCGCCTTGAGCTCCTTTGGAGGAAAAGGTGGCATATTAGTATTAGTATTTATTTATTCCATTTATTCCATTATCATAAGAGCCCAGGGTGGTGTACAACATTTTAAAAAATTACATATTTTTCAGTGATAGAAACACAATAGTTCAGGATACAATTGTATGGGGAGACCAGGAATAATGAGACCTGGGAAACCGGGATTTGAATCCCCACTCTGCCATGAAATAATAAAAAAGCATACTAACAGACAGCCTAATAATAAAACAATCATAATAACAGTCCTCTCCCCCACACTTTTACAGGCTATAGATTACTTTACAGCCTGGGGAAAGAGGAATGGTTTTGCCCGATGCCTAAAGGCATGTAATGATGGCGCCAGAGAAGCCTCTCTGGGATGAACATTCCATAATTGGGAGCCACCACAGAAAAGGCCCCTTCTCTTTTTGCAATCCTTCTAACCTCTCCGGGACATTGCGGAGGGCCTCAGATGACAAGCACAGGGTATGGTGGGTTCCTAAGGGGAGAGGCAATCCTTAAGGTATTGGCTCCTGAGCCATGTAAAGCTTTATAGGTCAACACCAGCACTTCGATTTGGACTACTAATCACCAGCCAGTGCAGTTGTGCCCTGATTGGTGTTACATGCGCAAACTGTCTTGTTCTGGTGATCAATCTGTCCATTGCATTTCTACCAGCTGAAATTTCCTGCTCCTCAATGAGACCAAAACCTAGGCATTTTTGCTCCTTCGTTTCCCCCTTATCTAGACTTTCTTCTTTTCTGTGATGTAGGCCTTTGCTGTAGCCATAGTGAAGCCCAGACCGACCGATTATTTTATTGGAATTTCCCTGGTAGGCTCAGATTGGCGCTGCTATCAAAAGGACTTTCGCATCGAGACTCTGTAAGTCCAAACTCCTCCTCATCTGGGAACTTTCATAACCAATAAGTATTTGAAGAGAGCCAAGATGTTTGTGTGTTTATATTGTTCTTTATTATGATGGTTTAATTTATAGACCAATTCGTTTCCAGAGAGCTTCAAAGTGCTTTACAAAATACAAAATTAAAATAGAAAAGAACAAAATGCACGGCAGGAAAGGTGTGATTAAATGAGCCTCTCACACCACCTTTGTTGCCAAGCTGCAACACAACAACCCTGCAGTGCAACCAGTGGGATTTATTCTCTGGCCGTTGCTGCCACCAACCCTTCCACTTCCTCCAGCAGTCCAGAGGGAAGGGACCTGGGGTGCACCAAAGCAATTGCTTTTCAGTCGGGGCTGAAGTGGATGAGTCCAGTTGGTGGCACTGGCTCAAGGACGATGCTGACATTGGTTATGGGCCCAGTCGTCGTTCCAGTCGTCTGACCAGTCGCTGTTCCAGTCATCCCAGTCGCCAGAGGTTTCTGTTGCTGATTGCCGGACGGCAGAACGGAGGCTGCATGCTGGACTGATTTGCGGTGCCCAGAAGCAGAGCTGTTTTGGAGCAGAGTGTTCAAGCTGCCGCTGTTGCTGTTGCTGCTGCTTGATTTATGGAGGTATGTTGCTGACTGCCAAAGAAAGAAGATAGCATCCCTGTTTGCCTATTAATTGCGCTCTGAGTGGGAGAGAGAGTGGCTGAAGGAGTCCAAGGTTTTATCTGTGTTGCACGAGGGAAATGTCTTGCTTTAAGTAATAGCAGACATGGCCTGTGCACATCCTGGCCAGATGGCTCTGTCCTTTCCTCTCCTCACGCCTGAAACCTATTCAGTTTGGCAGGTCAATATGAAAGTGCTTTTACAGAGGGAAAAGCTATTCTACACTATAGAAGATGACCTTCCCAATAAGGATGATGATGATTGGCCTGAGTGGCATGCTGCAGACATGAAAGCCCAAGGGACAATTGTTTTGAGTGTTGCAGACCACTTGTTGGTGAACTTAGAGGGGCAAGAGACTGCACGAGCTGTTTGGCATAAACTGAGAGATATGCATTTGAGGCAGAATGCTGGTTCCAGTGTAATTTTCTTCAAGAAGCTGTGCAGGCTGCAGCTGGAGAAAGGTGGTGATTTGCCTAGCCATCTATCTCAGTTAAAACGCCTCAGACAGGACCTTGTTCAGCGAGACCTGGCTATTTCAGAGGCTGTGTTTGCAATGCTAATGATAAATAGCCTAGATGAGTCTTATGATGGAGTAGCTGCCCAGATTTCTACGATGCCTTCTGACCGGCTAACAGAAGATTATGTGTCTAGCGTGCTCTTGAATGAGTGGGATCGCAGACAGGCTGTTAAAGAAAGCCGAGACAATGGTGCTGTTAAAAATGTGCTTGCAAATGTGCCTGAGTTTTCAGCAGGGGAAAGTGAAAGTGAAACTGCTGCTGTTAAAGCTTTGAAATTGAAGCGGTGCTTTTCGTGTGGAGCACAAAGCCATTTGAGTTTCCAGTGCAGCAAGAAATCTTCAAAGAAGAAGGGAAACTTTAAAGGCAGAGGGGGAGGAGGACGAAATCCCCAAGCACCTGCTACTTCAAAGGCTTTGATCTCTCGCTGCTCCAATCAACGTGGGCGGAGTTTCTTTGTAGTCGACTCTGGCTGTTCCAACCACGTGGCCAAAGATGAAAGTCTCTTTGTTCAGCTTGAGAAGCAAGAGAAAGAAATTCATCAAGCAGATGGGACTGTTCTCACGAGTTTGGCTAAGGGAACTGTGTTTTTAAAGAGCCTGAATGCTACTATTAAGAATGTCCTGTATGCTCCTCATATTCAGGACAATTTGTTGAGTGTTTCCCAGCTTGATCGTCAGGGGTTTAAGGTGGTGTTTGCTAAATCTCGTTATGAAATTCGTCAAGATGGCAAGCTCATTCTGTATGCAAAATGTGTAAATGGTTTGTACCAATTGCCTTTTGTTTCAGGTACAACTGCAAAAGCAACTGAGAAAGAGTGTTGCAATTTATCTGTTGATAAGAATGAGAAGTTGCAAAACCAATGTATTCAGGGTGTACCACCAAAAGGGTTTTCTAAAGAGTTCACTAAGGCTGCGGTCACAAGCAACTCTGGTGTGGTCTTTGAACCAGCCAATTATAAGGAAGTTAAAAATCTATCTGCAAAAGATGCAGAACCTTGGCTGAATGCCATGAGAGCTGAGTTGAATTCCCTGAAACAGAACAATACTTGGGAATTGGTTTCAGCAGAACCAGGTATGAAGTGTGTAGACAGTAGGTGGGTCTACAAGGTAAAGACTGATCAGAGCGGAAAAGTAGTCAGATATAAAGCCAGATTAGTGGCGAGAGGTTTTTCTCAGACACTTGATCAGGATTACCATGAAACGTATTCTCCAACAGCAAGGTTTGAAAGTGTTGGACTGTTGTTGAAGATAGCTGCCGAAGAGGGTATGACGATTTCCCATCATGACGTCAATACTGCGTTTTTGTATGGCGTTCTAAATGAGAATATCTATATGTCACCTCCAGATCGTGTGCAGATAAAAGGAATGGTTTGCAAGTTGAAAAAATCCCTGTATTGTTTGAAACAGAGTGCACGGTGCTGGCACACCAAGCTAACTGAAGTGCTGTTCTCCTTATTTTTTGTGCAAGGAAAGGCTGATTCGTGTGTTTTTGTTAAAGAGTCCAATCAGCATAAGCTTTATTGCATCTGTTTTGTAGATGACATATTATTTGTGTGGAAGAATGAAAACATCTACAAAAGCACTTTGGCAAAGTTGCAAAAGCATTTTGATTTAAAAGACCTAGGAGAAGTTAGCAATTATCTCTCTCTTGAGATTGAGAGAAATGCTCAGGGTGAAGTTTTGGTGCATTAGTCACGTAAGATCACTGATGTAATAGAGAAGTTGAACCTGACTGATGCAAATCCTGCGGATACCCCTATGGTCGCAGGTTATCAGCATGACACAAATGCTGAGGTTTTTCCTGATGTAACACTTTTCAGAAGTGTGTTGGGTAAACTTAATTTCATAGCAAGATGTTCAAGGCCAGACATTGCAGTGAGTGTGAATTTAATCAGCAGGTATGCCAATCAACCCACAGTTCAAGATTGGAAAGCACTAAAACGGATAGCAAGATATTTAAAAGGAACTGTGGATTACAGATTGAGACTTACAAGTCAAAAGTCTGGAGGTCTCGAGATCTATGCTGACGCCAGTTTCGGAAGTGACACAATGGATGGCAAAAGCACATCAGGAGTGTGTTATTTGTACAATCAATGTCTTTTTGATTGGTGTTGCAGAAAGCAGGCAACAGTAAGCTTAAGTTCCTGCGAGGCAGAGCTTAATGCTTTAACTCTTTCCCTGATGGATATAGAGTGGTTGCAGCAACTGTTTAATGACATAAAAGTGAAGGTCGCTTTTCCTGTTCAGGTTTATCAGGATAATAAAGCATGTATAACGTTGCTCCACTCAGAGGGATGTAAACAAAGGACAAAATATCTGCTAATCAAGCTCCATCAAGCTAGAGAATGTATTCAAAATGGTATTGTAAAAGTGTCATATATGCCGGGGAAAGAGATACCTGCAGATATGTTAACAAAGGTTGTAAGCAGAGAACAACTTTTGGAGTGTGTGTGTAAATTGCAGTTATGTTTAGATTCTTGAATGGTTGGATGAAATGGGGGAGGATGAGGAGATTTCACCCCGCCCATATCCAAGAATCTGCTGATTTTCTCTGCTGATTCTCCAGAGAGGAGGGAGAGTTTTCTGCTCTCTACTTATTCCGCTCTAGCACCACATCAAAGTGTCAGTGTCGGAGAGAGAGAGAGACTGAGTGTTAGAGAGAGATTGTGTGTATAAATAAGGTTGCTGCTAAGAGCAGCTGCAGACACTCAGTGCAGTTCAGCATTTTTCGTTTAGACCTCATTTAGCTCTGTATATAGTTGTGTATTATAGTTGTAGATAGAATAAAGAAGATATTCTACAGAGCTGCTCTCCGAGTCGTTTATGCTCTGCTATACTCTGGTATACTCTGCTGTGCAACGACTGTATTCTTGTGGAAGTGAATCCGGTGCTCACAGCTCTAAGCTGTGAGTCCACAGCACTTAGACCTGTTCCTGTGAGAAGGTGGTCTCTGGAAGTGCTACCCCAGATCGCCTGGCCCAGTCGAGGCTGAAGTGGATGAGTCCAGTTGGTGGCACTGGCTCAAGGGCAATGCTGACAGGGTGCACCAAAGCAATTGCTTTTCAAGCTTCTCTGATGCTTTACCAGCAATGTCCAAAGTCAGGCCCAGGGGCCTAATCCAGCCCGCCGGTTAGTTTAATATGGCCCATGCAGCAGTTTATATTCTGGGGTAAAATCCTAAAAAAAGCTAAACAACTTCAATCCAAAAAAAAGACAACAACTTTGGTCGGTCCTCACGCACGTTCACTTCATCAAATCTGGCCCTCTTAGAAAAAAGTTTGGACACCCCTGCTTCAATCAGAGTGCAAAGGCAGCCCACACTCTGTGTGTTGGGAATCCTGAAGGCCAAGACCCAAGTGTGAAGTGAGTACTCTTTGATGAGAGAACCCCAGCAGAGTTTTAAGATAGCAAAAGATGCAGCAAATAAAAGTGTGGCAATGTCGGCTGTAAACCCTGAAAAATGTCCTCTTTCCAGTGTACTCCAAAGTATCCCACTTTCAAAGGTTCTTCCCAACTTCCCTAGCACAAACATAGAGCACACATTTAGTAAGTCATAAAATGACTTTCTGCTTTCAAATCAGATGCTCTGCTACTGAGCTGTGGCACTTGCCAATGGTAGACACACCTCCCACAACCCCTGTTTCCTCTCTGTCTTCTCCTGCTTTGTTCTCTGAATGGACAAAAGACAAAGCTGGAAAATGCTACTATCAAATTGCTTGGTGGATCCGATTAGGACCGTCCTCTTGCAAAAGGAGCGTATTAGGATTGCCCTCTCTGTAAGCTGTGTGTGCTGGGCCCGGGGGTAACCCGAGCAACGCGGTCCAGGTCCAGTCCCGAATCAGTCTGAGAGGCCAAGGCAGGACACGAGGCAGGAAACCAGGCAAGGTCAGGCTCAGGGTCTCAGGCAGGTTCTAGCAAACAGCAAAGTTGCTCCCACAATCTGGGGTGGGGTCTGACAGCCTTTTTTCTTTGTCAGGGTAACAGCCAGTCCTGATCCCCCAGTGACTCACCTCCCTGTCTCGCCCAAAGGCAAGCACTCCTCCTGCGAGTACTCAGGTCTCTCCTTCTCTCAGACCTTAGTCTCTGCATCTCGGGAGATGTCCATGGGTTAATGGACCCGGGGACTGCCTCAGCCTCTCCTGACCCAACTGGCAGTGGAGCAGCTGCAAGTGATGGCCCAGCTGAAGGCAACGAGGTCATCCCTGCATCTGGAGCCAGGGCAGGCTCAGGCCCCTGACATGGACCAGCTGGTGCTTGTTGCAGAAGAACCTGTGCAGACTGGGGCTCTTCAGAATCATGCCGCAGACTAGGTTCAGATGCCACCTGAGGCAAAGGATCCGGTGCGGATTGAGACTCCTCTGGTTCCGAGTCCGAACCTGAGTCCCAGGCCATCACACCGTGCAACTTTGTCACAGTTGAGGCACTGCCTTGGAAAGGAGGTTTAGCCTGTATTTTTCCACTGGCCTGCAATCTGCCCTTCAACACTCCAAATAATCAAAATCCTTCCATTTATTAATTTATAGGGTTTGCCTATAAGAATATTTCCCCCCTTATTTTCCTGAGGAAAGCACAATAAGTGCTGGCTGGATGTACATGTTTCTGCAGGCTAGCACATGATTTGCCTTCCAATCAGACACTAATAATAATAATAATAATACCCCACCCATCTGCTAGTTTCCCCCAACCACTCTGGGCAGCTCACAGCATATATCAAAACATAAAAAAGCAATCATTAAAACTTCTTGATACGGGGAATAAAATGAGACTCATCTGGTGTTGGTGGTAGTGCAGAAAGTGTGTAAGTTCTGACCACAGGGTAGGGCAGAGAGGCAGGGGAGTGCTCTAGACCAAAAGAGAATTCTCCTCTGAATGTTACTCCTCTGGGTTACTGCAAAAATAATGAATAAGTGTGTGGAGGATAGGCAAGTATTTGATTCTAAGAGGTACACAATAAAATAAGTATTCAGACTGAGTAGTTTCTCCTCTCCTTTTCAGCTACTGGGATAGTCAACGTCCAAGAAATAAAGGTCCTGCAAAACCAGATACAGCCAACTGTGTCATCATCACAAGGGGCTGCGACAAAATTTATTACTGTTGGCATGATGTTTTGTGCCAAGGCCTAAAACGGTGCATCTGCAAAAGGAAACCTATGAAAAAGTGGATGAGATAATTGATAATCTGCACTCTATACCACCTTTTCAGTCCTGCTATTCTGAGGCTGGAAAAGAGCCATTGTTTTACACCTGCAAAGGCTTAGTTAGGCAGTGAAATAAAGTGTGGAAGAATTCAGTAATAGCCCATGTATGTTTCTTTTCTTTTTTAAATTGTATTTGCTTAACTGAAAGAAACAAAAGAAACAGTCTTCATCATCCATTCATACAAAAGTACACAACAAATCAACTAATAGAAAAGGGGGGGGAATCTAATAAACAGAATAAAGAATATCTTATTTCTTTACATACAACTTCCCATCTACTCCATATTTCACATATTCATTATTAACTTCTTGCCAAAACTTGTCAAAAATATAAATAAAGTATAAATATTTAATTATCTGTGGTCTTGATTCTTACTACCAACTACTACAGATTTTATTCGAATGCTACAACAGAGTTTAAAAAGGTAAAGGGACCCCTGACCATTAGGTCCAGTCCTGGACGACTCTGGAGTTGCGGTGCTCATCTCGCTTTATTGGCCAGGTCATGTGGCCAGCTTCCGGGTCTGACTAAGCCGCTTCTGGCGAACCAGAGCAGTGCACGGAAACACCTTTTACCTTCCCGCCAGAGTGGTACCTATTTCTCTACTTGCACTTTGACATGCTTTCGAACTACTAGGTTGGCAAGAGCTGGGACTGAGCAACGGGAGCTCACCCCGTCACGGGAATTCGAACTGCCAACCTTCTGATTGGCAAGCCCTAGGCTCTGTGGTTTAACCCACAGCGCCACCCGCGTCCCCTACAACAGAGTTTAGACTGCGACAATTATTTTTCAAATATATTTTAACTACTTCTCACTTAGAAATGAATACATGTTTTGGTTTATTTTTCTTTTTTTCCAATTATTCAACTCCGAGTATTCAACCAGTTTTTGAATCAGTTCTGTCCTAGAAGGAACATTGTCACTTTTCCAATCTGATGCAATAAGCATCCTGGCGGCAACTGTGGCATAAAGGAAGATCTCGCTAACATTTTTGGGAATATCCGGATCTATGATCCCCAGTAGGAAGGCTTCCAGGTTGTTGTTTTTTTTTTTAAAAAAAAAGCTACATTTAGCATTCTTTTAAGCTCTGAATAAATGTCCTCTCAGAACACCTCTATTTTCCTGCAACGTCACCACAGATGAAACATTGTGCCTATTTCCTCTTTACATCTCCAGAAGGTGCTGGAGACATTTTTGTACATTTTAGAGAGCTTCCAGGGTGTCAGATACCACCCATGAAACATTTTCTGGAAGTTCTGTCTCAGTGTATATAGCAAGCTGTGAATTTCCAGTTCACTTTCCACAAGTTTTCCCATTAATGCATATATATAACATGCCCAAAATCCTGGGCCCATTTTATCATTGCCGCTTTGACCACCTCCTCCTTGACTTCCCAGTCAAGGAGGAGTCGGTACATTTTGGACAGAGTTTTGGATTTAGAGTTCACCAAATCAGATTCAAAGCCGTTTTGTTTGTCACTTTTATGCATCTCAAACAATTGATAGTATTGGAACCAGTCAGGATTCCCAAGGGAATTGTTTCATTGTGACATTAAAATTGTTCTCACTGGCCACAAGGCTTAATGAGGTCAAACTTAGTGTATTTGTCTTTTAAATCTTGTTTTAGAATGCTTGAGCCCCTCCGATTACAAAGAGGCAAAGGAAAGGAGCACGTCCATTTGCAAATGAACACAAAGCTTTTCTTTTAGAAAAATGTTTTATCTTTAACGTTAGCTGCAGCTCACAATGTACAATGCAGTTATAGGAGTAAATAGGAGGGAGGAAGATCAAAGTGTAGTAAGTCACGGTAAGAGAAGGAACCCAAGTTTTGAGACCATTGGGTGGGGGACAGGCTCAAGAGAGAAAAAGAGAGGAAGGGCACTGTTTATTCTTAATGCAGGGCTGCTTGGCACATGACACTTTACCCAAATGCATATAGGGAGAAAGAGTGGTTACATCTATGCGCACAACTATAGGTGAAGATTCTACATGTGTTTTGTGTGTGTGTGTGCATGCTGCATATTCACATACTGGGAAGGTGTTATTGCATATGTGGAGATGTATGGTTGAAATTATGTGTGCAAAAATGTGTATAGTTGAATTGAGGTAGTATGAAGGGGGAGAGAAACAATGCAAATATGCAGAAAAGGCGGCACGGCAACTCCAAAACTGAGGTTCAGAATAATCCATGAAAGCTCTTTCTGCAAGCTAAATTTTGACATGAAAGAGGAGCTCTTGGTCATTGTTGAAAATGAGGGGGATACAACTGAGCATTGCTGTTTGTTTGCGAAAAGGGAGGTATACATTTTTATAATATTAGGGGAATTATGTAGGTAGGCCTTGTAGAAAGGATTCTGAGTGAGGACTGATGTTTTAGTGAGGTTTCAGTGGAGAAGCAAGGATGTCTGTATGGGTGATCTAGTGAAGAAGCAGAGGTCCTTAAGCTCTGTCTTTTTTGGCGATCACTCGTAGCCGAGTAAGATTGTCTTCCATAAACACGGCTATAGCACGTTTCTCCCTTGCGTCCTGAGTTTGAGTGTCTTCAGCCCCATGACACCTTTGGTAAAGGCTGTTCTCCAACTGGAGTGCTCTCAGGCCAGTGTTTCCCAGTTGTCGGTGTTTATACTACATTTTTTTAGATTTGCCTTGAGACAGTCTTTAAAATTCTTTCGTTGACCACCAGCGTTACGCTTTCCATTTTTAAGTTCGGAATAGAGTAGTTGCTTTGGAAAACAATCATCAGGCATCCACACAACATGACCAGTCCAACAAAGTTGATGTTGAAGAATCATTGCTTCAACACTGGTGGTCTTTGCTTCTTCCAATACACTGATATTAGTTCACCTGTCTTCCCAAGTGATTTGTAAAAATTTTCGGAGACACTTTTGATGGAATCTTTCAAGGAGTTGGAGATGGCGTTTATAAATGGTCCATGTTTCACAAGCATATAGTAAGGTTGGTAGTACAATAGTTTTGTAAACAAGCATTTTGGTTTCCCTGCGATTGTCCAGGTCCTCAAACACTCAGCACTTCAATAGGGAGAAAGCCGCGCTCGCAGAGCTCAGGCGATGCTGGATGTCGGCATCAATGTTGGCCCTTGTGGAAGGATAACTGCCTAGGTAGAAGTGATCGGCATTTTCCGACGTTGCACTATTGAGTTGGATTTGTGGCACTGCAGAGGGGTTATTTTGTTCTTGTTGGTGCAGCACTTTGGTTTTTTGGATGTTGAGTGACAAGCCAAGCTTTCCGTACGCTTCTGAAAAGATATTTAGGAAGGTTTGGAGGTCATCCTCTGAGCGTGCACACACTATGTTGTCATCAGCATACTGAAGCTCTATGACGGAATTTACAGTAACCTAACTCTTTGCTTTCAGCCTGCTCAGATTGCAGAGCTTTCCATCTGTTTGATATATGATTTCTACTCCGGTGGGGAGTTTCCCTTCCACAAAGTGTAGGATCATGGCAATGAAAATAATGAGTAGAGTTGGGGCAATAACACAACCCAGTTTAACACCAGATCCCACTGTGAATGGTTCACTTTGAGAGCCATTGTTATCTGCGATTATTGCTGTCATTATCATGGAGGAGCCGAATGATGTTTACAAATTTATCTGGGCAGCCAATTTTCAGAAGCACAGTCCACAGGGCATTATGATTTACAGTGTCGAAAGCCTTAATCAAAGCCTTAGTCAGGTCAATAAACGCCATATACAGGGGTTGGTTTTGCTCTCTGCATTTTTGTTGAAGCTGTCGAGCAGTGAAAATCACATCCACTGTCCCCCTAGAAGTCTGAAAACCATTTTGGGATTCAGGAAGGGTCACCTCGGATATTGTTAAGAGACGGTTTGCTAAGATCCTTGCAAGAATTTTGCCAGCCGCAGCTAATAGAGAGATGCTTCAATAGTTTCCGCAATCAGTTCTGTCACCATTTTTAAAGAGATTGATAATTTTGGCATCCCTAAAGTCTGCTGGGATCTCTTCTCTTTCCCAGATTTTTTTAATGAGCTTGTGAAGTTGTTGTGTAAGTTCAATTCTGCCCACTTTGAAGATTTTGGCAGGTTCCTTGAGTCAGAACAACTGAATCTGTATCCACCACCCATGTGCCGGTTCATGACTAGGGGCTTCCAGATTTCACGATCCTGTCCCCGTTACCATTTGCCGATCGCCATGGGACTTTGGGGTTTGGGGTTTCAAATGGGTTTTGGGAAGATGCCTGTGAGTGAATTTGTTTTATGTTTGTAGATCAGTGCACACTGACCAACACACAGTCTTCGCAGTAAGGCCCTGTTCCAATGGCATGTGTAGTCACGACTACTGGTAGATTCTTATCTGCTGCAGCCTTCATTCTCCTTCACAGCCATTGTAACATAACACTTGTTATCATCCTCCTGTTCTGCTGTTGAGGACTTCTTGGATCATTCTTTGTCTAGCTCCTCCCCTTTTACATTACCATCTTGGGTGACCCTGCTGGGAGTACGGCTTCCCTCACAAGGTTCATGGGAATGTGCAAGCCCTCTCACCATGACAAGGTGAGGATCCAGTGAGTGAGGAGGACTTTAGGAACCTGTCAAGAGTCTTCATATCTCCTTCCCATAGCAGGGCAAGCACTTACTGGGGTTTGAGAAAGTGGCCTCCTGGGCTCCGTGTCAAGTGCTATCCCACCCCTTGCACTGCCCTAAATCCAACTCTGTTGAAAGGTGACAGTGCACTGCAAGCACCAAAGAGGACTTATACAGTAAAAGGGTTTTGGTTTTTTCTGGTTGTGACTGTGCAATAATCCTGTGAGCCATTAGATGGCAGTATTTCCAAATTTATACATAGGAGAAAATACACTTTACTGTCTGATCCTAAGATTTTTCTACTGTAAGCTGGACGGGGGCTGCATTCCAAAGCACACTTATGGCGTGGCGAGGCCCCTCCCCCCAAGTGAAATGAAGACACTGGACACATTATTTAAGATTAATAGGCATAAAAATGTCACAACTTTATTGATTACAGGAATTGGAAGGTATTGGCCTTAGGCATTGGCTCCTATCGACTACCCGGCATGGGGACCGGGAAGGGTTATCGGCCAGCCGTGGGAGTCCTGTTGAAGTAT